AGAACTTCCAGGTGAACCAAATCGTCGAGGGGAGACATCCTGACTGCTTTATCTCCAAAATTGCTGATCAAGACCGCTCGCAGGGAGGAGGGCCCAGCAATGACCCCTATCCCAATGGCCTGCTGCCTGGGCGCACCACTCACGGTCCAGCGGGCTCCTGATGGCCCGCCAACGTCGAACCAATAGTGATGCCACTCCTATTGCGCGATCATCGTCGGTCGACTTTGGCAATGAACTGATGAATACCACCATGAGCTGCCACGGCCACGAGACACATCTCTCAACTTCATGGTATATGTCGACTAACGTCTGGATCGCTTGATCGGGTCGACGTCGGAGATCGTTGATGCTGAGAGCCTCGCAGCCTTTGGCTTTCTTGGGGGAAATACGCTGTAGTATATGTCTGACATGATCAATTGATATGGGTTCCAAATCTGTGTCTTGGCGAAGGCGCCCATAACCTTCTGCTTGCCAAACCGTTTACTGCTCCAGGCCTTTTCCCACCAGTCCCGCTTGGCGGTCATGATCTCAATGGGAGTCGCCATGATCCCTTGAGCCACCCGCATCTCATTCAGCGTGACTGGCGGGTGTCGGATGAGGTCATAGAGCCTGCCTGGGGTGGTGGACGCCATGGTGAGGATCCAGGACTCGAAGCCCCGCCGTGATGATGCGGCTGAGAAACGCCGTGCCCGAACTGCATTACTCTCGATTGTTTGCTTGAGCCGCTTTAGCTGAGCAAGGGTAAACTGATTCACTCTGTGTAGGGTGGCTGCCCATGTTCTCCTGGCCGTCGGTGAAATAGGGGTGGGGGGGGGGGGGGGGGGGGCAGCTGAGGTAGGCAAAGTGCAGATCCACTCCTTGATGCGCACGAATGTCCACGCTCTTGAGTGGATCCTCAAACTTCCTGATCAGCTCCTCGAAATGCGCCGCGAGAATAGCCCGCCACTTCGTGGCAGGATCAGTCTGAACCGCGCGCTGCTTAGGCGCCTTGACAGGTGCCACTCTGAACTGTCTCGCAACCGCTTCCAGTATACGATCTGGCTGCATTGGGTCAGATGTCTAGCATCTGTATGTAGAATTTCTCAAGCACAGAGACTCAATTGCCAAGCAATCTTCCAAGGTGCAAAGACTATAACTGCGAGACTTGAAATGCAAGAGACTGCCTGGTGAAATCCGTCGGCTGGTTGGGGGAATCTGAGCCAGAGGGGTCAATACTGCGCCAGACTTCATCTCGTGAAAGTTGCTGCTGTTGCGAGGGGGCCCGGGGCGGGGGCGGCTCCCCATAGTCCACGTTGAAGGGGCCCCGACCAGCCTCAGAGAGGGCCCCCGTCCCCAGGTCTCCAGGGTCTTCCATCACGAGGTCGGGGGGCAGATCCTGATCAAGTTCATCATCAGAAGACTCCTCCTCCAAATCAGCAAAGGTGAGCTTGGGCGGCGGCAGCCCTGGGGTAGTCGGTTTGGTGGTCAGGGCCGTCTCCGACTTGACCAGCTTCTTCTGCCCCGTTTCTGCCGCAGTAGCTGCATTGCGAGATCTTTGTACTAGTAGGGTCTGCCCTTCTCCAAGGAAGAGGCTGGTGCGTGAACGAACGCGGCAAAGAATTAAAACGATCTCGGGCCAGCACAGCTCGAGCTCGAAAGTCAACCTTGATTCCGCAGTGAGCTTTGCCAACTACTGCATTGCGGGCCACAACTACTGATGTGTCTGCTGCGAGGCTGGATATCAGAAGCCGCGCATGCGGTGGGGCAATGCCATAGTCCAACATGGGCCCTGAGCCGATGGCGCACGCATGTCCCACATCCGTCGGGATCCCCCCCCCCCCCCCCCCCCCCGCATCACGGCGGGCCACCCTGGTTGCATCAGGGTAGAAGGTGGAACGCTCCAGTCGGCAAAAATGGCCCATGGGATGCCCAGGCTCTCGCTGAAACTGCCAAGGATGGATCGCGAGCTTATGAAGGTTGATGCCTCGAGTGGCAATGGGGCAAGTAAGGTAAACCGACACGACGCAGATCGCGGTGCCGTTGATATGCCATACGATGGGAACAAAGTCGTGGAAGTCGACGTTGCCCTTGGTAGAGACGAGGCGCCCCATGCCGATCTGCTGCGCCTTGTTCATGGCAAGGTGCCTAAAAGAGGAGGTGGTGAAGGTGTTCTTCATACCCGCAACCGCGCCTCCAGGCAGTTTTGCACGACCAGTCGGCCTAGCAGGTGCGCATATAGCCCTATAGCCATTCTTGCTCCAGTGCCGAAGAAGGTCATCAGAGTGCTCATCGCCAGCATGAGTTTCCACTAAGAGGATGCCGTCGTAGTGCCGCTCATCGATAAGACCTTTGGCCGCAGGGCCCCAGGTCGAGAGATTGCGAACGTAGAGGTGCCACGTCTTCTCCTTCCCAGGGTAGATCGCGCCCACCACTGGGGGCGAAATGTTGGAGGGGGCGTTGAATGCCTCCTGGAAATATTTCTAGATGCTGCTTACCTTTGTAAGTGGCAGTAGCGGAACCACCAGCACCAGTTGGAGATCTACCTGCCGCACTCTCAGCAAAGGCATGGTCAGGAGCTTGGTCCCATCTGCTGCTGTCTGCGGGCGAGCTCCTTCTCGAAAGCGGCCGACGCCGAGGGCACCTGGGGCGCCGAGGGCGCTGGCGGCGCCCCCTCGGCCGCTGGGGCCGCAGTGGCTCCAGAAGCTGCAGCGCCCCCTGGAATGGTCTGGGTCTCGCCGTTGCTGCCCTCGGCTCGGCGACGCTTGCAGGCAAATCGATCCATCTGCTGTTGATGAGCCGCCCGCGCCTCTTTGGCCTTGGTGGCCGCATCTGCGAATGGCTTCTTGGCGCCCTCCTGGAGGCCCTTGACGAGGGCCTCCCGTCGTTCTTCAGCTTGCCGTAGTCCATCATCGCCCAGACCTTCCTCGCCGCCGATGGAGAAGACGTCGCCGAAATCGATAACGAAACCGCCGAGCTTAGCTTCTAAGGGCGCCGAGAGGGAGAGTGTGGGCCTGGGTTCTGGTGCAGGGGTGGCTGGGCGAACCGAGACTGCCAGCTTGTCGTATTCGACCTGAAGCACGTCCAAGTGTGTCTTGAGAGAGACGACGTGCTCCCAATGCTGTTCCAGGTCCTGTTGTCACTTGTGGTATGTAGCCATGGCCCTCTTAAGTTTGGCGTCTTGGTTGTTGAGGGCCCAGCGTGCCTTTGAGAGACGGGTCTCGAGCGGCGGCTGAGGAGGAGGGCCCTTGTCGAGCTCGTCCAGCCTCTTCTGGCACGCTTGGGCAAAATGGGTCTGGCCACACTTGGTAGAGGAAGCCAACATCGCCACCAACTCCGAGCTCTCGAGCTTGGAGACGTCCACCTCAGGGATGCCAGCGGGGGGGGGGCGTTGGCCCACCTGGAGCTCGGGTCGACCGCTCTCCCGTTGTCCAAGGCGTGGGTGATGTCCTTCGGTTTCCACTCCCCACAGTGCGTGCACCACTGAAAAGATCCTGGATTCTTTGCGCATCCGCACGAGAGACATTTCCACATGGGGCCTCCTGAGCGAGCATGCGGGTAGCGTTTCCCCTTGGCGCCAGTGCGAACCCAGGGGCTGTAGGTCCAACTCCAATCTGCGGAAGCAAGAGCAGCAGAAGGAACCATGGCGCCTTGGTGTACGATGTGGTGTCCGATGTCGTGGTGAAGATTGGCCTGGTGGCCAGAAGCCCAAGACTAGGGCGATGCTGCGTGGCCTGGCGGCTCGCGCAGCGGAGCGATGAAGAATCGAACACTGGCCGCGGACTAGCGGTATCCACTTGTTTCCGCTGGGAAACCAAAACCTTGAGCCAAAATGGCTACGGGGAGACCCAAAGAGATTCCCGAGAAGTTCCCCAGAGGCCGCACAAGGCCCCCCCCCGAGGCCCCCATGAAGCCCCAAGAAGCCCCCTAAGGGCTCGCGAAAGGCAACCAGAATGGTTCCGAAGAGACCCCAAACTGATCCTTCAGAGCTCCCCGATGGCGCTCCGCGGAGACTCCACGTCAGTTTCGTCGTCGTCGCCGCCGCCGCCGTCGTCGTCTCCCTTCACGGTCGCTACTGGCCGTAAGGCCGTCGCCACTTCGTTGGTGCATCTTGGGCTTACACAGGTCCTGCTCCTCCTCATCGTCGTCCTCCTCCTCCGCCTCCTCCTCATCATCCTGCTCCTCCTCCTCCTCCTCCTCCTCCTCCTCATCATCATCATCATCATCATCATCATCAGCATCCTCATCCTCATCCTCATCCTCATCATCGTCACCATCAGCATCGTCGGCGTCATCATCAGCATCATCATCAGTATCAGTATCAGTATCAGTATCAGTATCAGTATCAGTATCAGTATCAGTATCAGTATCATCATCATCATCATCATCATCATCATCATCATCATCATCATCATCATCATCATCATCATCATCATCATCATCATCATCATCATCATCGTCGTCGTCGTCGTCGTCGTCGTCGTCGTCGTCGTCGTCGTCGTCGTCGTCGTCGTCGTGGTCGTCGTCGTCGTCGTCGTCATTACAATCGGCATCATCAGCATCATCCCCAGCACCACCACCATCACCAGCACCAGCACCACCATCATCATGAACACCATCATCCACATCGTATCATCAGCATTATCATCATCATCATCAGCAGCAGCATCATCATCGTAATCAGCATCGTCACCATCAGCATCATCGCCATCAATACCATCATCATCGTCATCAGCATCATCATCATCATCATTATCCTCATGCGCATCCTCATCCTCATCATCGTCATTCATCCTAATCCTCCTCCTCGTCCTCATCATCATCCTCATCACCACCATTATTATTATCATCATTATTATCACCAGTATCGCTATCATCATTACATCATCACCATCAACACCATCGCCAGTATCATCATCATCATCATCATCATCATCATCATCATCATCATCATCATCACCATCAGTATCATCATCGTAGTATTGTGAGTATTCGCACTGTTGCTCTTAATCATCATATCACCATCCTTATGACAAACCCTGGGAAGGTAATCCAGTCACACACACACACATCGACGTCTGGGATGAGTCACGGAGCCAAATGAGCTGGCACGTAAAAAAACAAAAAGAGAAGTCAGCAGTGGACCCATCGCACAAATCCCGTCGCAGAGGGGCATAACGGCATCACCCTCTAGCTCGCGTAGCGCGCATGCGCCAGGCTCGGAGCACCAGTACTGGGCAAGGCGAGCTGTGGCGGAGGTGAGGCTGAGAGAAAGGCTGATGCACTACAACGTGCGGGCAGGAAGGCGCGGCACGGCAAAAAGCTGGGCGTCGGGCGTCGGCGCCACTTGGAGGCCATCACGTGCAAGCACGAATCATCAAGCAAACCTCGCGCAGAACAAAGGGGCACAAAACGAGAGGATCATCATCGCATTCATTCGCCCCCAAACGGAGCACGATGATCCTTTCCGCGTCCGCTCGCGCAAAACCCGGGCATATGACGACTGGACCAAGCCCCAGCGCAAGATGGATCTCTCGCGCCACGCAGCCGCCGCATGGGGAAGCCCCAGAAGAGGGCGGCGCCTCCGATTCGCCCGCCCCAGACGCTCAAGCGCTCAAGCGAGAAACAACAAAATCGTCTCGATAGGGGTCCCAAGGACCTTCCTCAGGTCTAGCCGCTACCGCCCCCAGGACCCTCCCCTGAACCCTCCCCAGACCACCCCCAGGGAAGGGGGGAAGGGGGGGGGTCGGTCTACCATCTGGCGTTTTCTTAGTGATTTGCGCATCCCCAAGATGTTTCGGAGGGCCCCAGGGACCCCCCTCAGATCTAGCCGCTATTGCCCCCAGGACCCTCCCCTCAGAGACCGCCCCCCTGGGACCGCTCCAGGCACCCCCCCAGAGGGCACGTCAGCTCCAAAAAGCGCCCCCGACGACTACAAGAGCGCCCTCCCTCCCAAATAGGACACGTCGTCCTTGTCGTCGTCGTCCTCCTCCTCCTCTTCTCCTCCGCCGCCATCGTCCTCCTCCTCCTCCTCCTCCTCCTCGCCGTCGTCCTCGTCGTCGACGTCCTCCTCCTCCTACTCACGCGGCGCGCGCAAAGTTCCCCTGCACCCCCACCCTCGCGCGCGCGAGCGGGAACGAGGAAGAGCGAGGATGGAGAGGTGAGCGAGCACGCGAAGCAACAGGGTCAGCGGGAGGCAGAAGATAACGAGAATCAAGCAAAAGAAAGAGGACCGGACGAATCGAGGAGGGAGGAGGCCACAGAGCCGCGAAGATCACCGAATCCGCAGCCCACTGGCCGGAGGCCATTGCAATCTCGGAGTGCAGGGCGATGGAGGCTGCCCATGGCCTTCACAGGCAGCGGCCAGCTATGGCCCCGCGGCCGCTGCAACAAGGCGTTCGGGTACGACAAGATGATCGACAGCCACAGGGGGCACACCAAAAACGCGCCTGGACGCGAAAAAGATCAAGGAGGCAAAGGGAACCAACGGAAGAGGGTGTGCATTGACTGCGAACTGGAGCTCAGGCAGGAGGAGTGGATCGAGTGGAGCGACGAGGAGAAGATACGACGTGGAGAAGAGCAGTCAGCATATTACGAGGGAGCAAATGTCGAGAACAGAAGAGGAAAGCAAAAGGAGCCGCGTGGGCAGCCCAGTCCCTGGGGCAGATCCAGGCGGTGAAGGCCCTCATTCAAACCGAGGAAGGACCTAAGAACAAGTCTCGCAACCAGAGGAACAAGATGGTCACCGAGAGGCCCAAGGAGATGCCAAAGGCACTGCTGGGGGGTATCAAAATAAATTGGGGCATCTTCGCAGCCTTCAGCAAAGCAGGATAATGCATGGCAGATGCAAATGTACAAAAAATAATACGAAATCCTGCTGAACAAGTACATGGCCATGGACGTAAAGGACGAAGAAGCGCTGAATGCAGCCAAAAAGAGACTGGAGGAAAAAGAGAAGGAGCTGCACGGGATGGGCGACTACAAGACGGCAAAGAACACGGGGGAGAAACAAACTAAGTACCTCAAGGCGCTGGACTTCGTGGACAAATGGAGCGACAATAATGGGGCACAAATTATCCCGGCAAAGCAACCTAACAGCGATGTGTAAAGCATATCTGGAAGCATTCCCCTTAAGATTCAGGTGATAATCCAGTTGTAGAATTATGTTGTTCTCGCAGTCGCAGTCGCATTCGCAATGACAGTCGCAGTGGCAACGGCCTTAGGATCCAATGGAATCCCAAGGATTCCTAAGGATTCCGCAGGCATCCTTAGGCATCCTTAGGAATTCATAGGAAACCTTCGGAATCCTTAGGAATCCTTAGGAATCCTGATTCCTAGGGATGCTTAACTATGCCTGAGGATGCTTAACTATGCCTAACTAGGATGCTTAACTATGCCTACGGATTCCTAAGGATGCCTACGGATTCCGAAGGATTCCTATGGATTCCTACGGATGCCTCAGCCTGCCTCAGTTTCAGCCTCAGCCTCAGCCTGCCTCGGCTTGCCTCAGCCTCAGCCTCAGCCTGCCTCGGCCTCAGCCTCAACCTGCCTCAGCCTCAGCCTCAGCCTGCCTCGGCCTCAGCCTGCCTCAGCCTCAGCCTCAGCCTGCCTCAGCCTCAGCCTCAGCATCAGCCTCAGCCTGCCTCGGCTTGCCTCAGCCTCAGCCTCAGCCTGCCTCGGCCTCAGCCTGCCTCGGCCTCAGCGTGCCTCAGCCTCCCCTCCCCTCCCCTTCCCCCCCCCATTCAGCCTCACCTTGTCTCAGCTTCGGCTTGCCTCGGCCTCATCCTCATCCTCAGCCTCAGTCTCAGCCTCAGCCTGTCTCGGCCTGAGCCTGCCTCGGCCTCAGCCTCAGCCTGCCTCAGCCTCAGCCTGCCTCAGCCTCAGCCTCAGCCTGTCTCAGCCTCAGCCTGTCTCAGCATCAGCCACAGCCTCGGCCTCAGCCAGCCTCAGCCTCAGCCTGCCTCGGCCTCAGCCTCAGCCTGCATCAGCCTCAGCCTCCATCAGCCTCAGCCTCAGCCTCAGCGCAGCTTGCCTCAGCCTCAGCCAGCCTCAGCCTCAGCCTGCCTCAGCTTCAGCCTCAGCGTCAGCCTGCCTCGGCTTGCCTCAGCCTCAGCCTCAGCCTGCCTCTCAGCCTCAGCCTCAGCCTGCCTCAGCCTCAGCCTCAGCCTGCCTCAGTCAGCCTCAGCCTCAGCCTGCCTCAGCCTCAGCCTGCCTCAGCCTCAGCCTGCCTCAGCCTCAGCCTCAGCCTGCCTCAGCCTCAGCCTCAGCCTGCCTCGGCGTGCCTCAGCCTCAGCCTCAGCCTGCCTGGGCCTCAGCCTGCCTCGGCCTCAGCCTGCTTCAGCTCGGGCATTCAAAATATGGCACAGGACTGGTGTTCTGGGAGCACGAAGATCACGAAGTGGCCCACAGTTGGCTCGGGTCAATCATAATAGTTATGGTACAGGAATGGTGTTCTGGGAACACGAAAAACACGAAGTGGCCTGCAAGTGGCTCTGGGCATTCAATATGTGGCCTGGGAATGGTGTTCTGGGAACACGAAAAACACGAGGTGGCCTACAGTTGGCTCTGGGCATTCAAAATGTGGCCTGCGAATGGTGTTCTGGGAACACGAAGAACATGAAGTGGCCTACAGTTGGCTCCGGGCATTCAAAATGTGGTCTGGGAATGGTGTTCTGGGAACACGAAGAACACGAAGTGGCCTACAATTGGCTCCGGGCATTTAAAATGTGGCCTGGGAATGGCGTTCTGTTGGCTCCGGGCGGTCAAAATGTGGCTCCTGGCAATCAAAATGGGGAGTCCCCGGATTCCCGCGGCACCCGTCCGGCATCTGCCCAGACCCCCCTGGGGAGTCATGATGCTCTCTTTTGAAACCACTAGAAACCTATCAGTCTTCGCTGTCAGGTAAAAAGACATCGCCTGCTCGTGCGGACTTGCCTTCTCTAACAAGCTGTGGCGGCAAGGCCCCAGCCCCAACTCGAGGGGGAGCCAGTGGAAGTTCTGGTGCAAAGTGGACCGGACGCAGTTGACGAGGGCGCGGGAAAACCATCCAGAAGACGAGCTCATGAAAGAGTGGGTGGAAATTAGGGACGACTTCGACAAGGACAGCGAAAATTAACCCGACATCGGGTGCAAGCCGATGCTCCGCCCGTACAAGAGAGGACCTTCAATGGTGGTGGATCTCAAGGTGGGAGAAAAGTGGGAAGCGCTCGTAGCGGACAGGCTGCCGCAGAACCTAGACAACGCCATCAAGGAGTGCAAGTTCTACGACGCCGCCCCGAAGATGAGCCCGGAGGAGCTGCTCGTCGAGGGGTCAGGGGGCGAATCGCCCCCCTGCGATTTTCATGTTTTGTTTGTCCTTATGGTGGCTCGTGCAGGAGAGTTGTTGGTTGATGCGCGTGCTGCCTCCGACCAAACAAACAACCTGAACACCCGCGTCATCCATGTCTTCGCCTGAGCCTAAGCCAGCCCCGCCTAAGCCTCAGCTTAACCAAAGCCTTGCCTAAGCCCAGCCTGAGCCCCAGCCTCAGCCTAAGCCGCAGCCTAGCCCACACCTCAGCCTAAGCATAGCCTGAACCTCGCCCGAACCCCGGCCTAAGCCTTGGCGTAAGCCTCAGCCTAAGCCTAGCCGGAGACTAGCCTAAACCTCAGTCTCAGCCTCAACCTCAACCTAACATAAACCCCAGCCAAAACCGAAGCCGAAGCCTCAACCAAAGCCTAGCCTGAGCCTCAGCCCTGTTATTGCTGCACTAGGATATTACTATCACCACATTACTATAACAGTACTACTACTACTACTACTACTACTACTACTACTACTACTACTACTACTACTACTACTACTACTACTACTACTACTACTACTACTACTACTACCTACTACTGCTACTGCTACTGCTACTGCTACTACTACTACTACTACTACTACTACTACTACTACTACTACTACTACTACTACTACTACTACTACTACTACTACTACTACTACTACTACTACTACTACTACTACTACTACTACTTCTACTACTACTACTACTACTAAGAGTATTGGCGTACGACTGCTCGTGCGACACTATCACTACGACTATTATTATTATTACTACTACTACTACTACCACCACTACCACTACGACTATACTACTACTACTACTACTACTACTACTACTACTACTACTACTACTACTACTACTACTACTACTACTACTACTACTACTACTACTACTACTACTTACTACTACTACTACTACTACTACTACTACTACTACTACTACTACTACTACTACTACTACTACTACGACTACGACTACTACTACTACTACTACTACTACTACTACTACTACTACTACGACTACTACTACTACTACTACTACGACTACTACTACTACTACTACTACTACTACTACTACTACTACTACTACTACTACTACTACTACTACTACGACTACTACTACTACTACTACTACTACTACTACTACTACTACTACTACTACTACTAACTACTACTACTACTACTACTACTACTACGACTACTACTACTACGACTACTACTACTACTACTACTACTACTACTACTACTACTACTACTACTACTACTACTACTACTACTACTACTATTACTACGACTACTACGGCTAGTCGTACTACTACAGTGCGACCGTACTACGAATGCTGCTGCA